GGCCTGTGGGGCTGTGCTGGCTCAGGGCTGCTCCTGCTGCCCTGGGCTGGGCCCTGCTCCCTGCCCAGGGGCTGGCAGTGCCTCTGGCAGGGTGGGCAGCTCTTCCAGAGAGACCACAAGTGAGCCCTGTCTCACCCTGAGCACGTGGGGAGCAGGGAGGGGCCGAGCCAAGCCAGGTTCTGAGGGCTTGAGCACCTGCTCACAGTGCAGGACAATTCCTGTCCTTCCATGGAGGGCTGTGCGTGGCTCTTAACATCTGGTGGGGCAGCAAGCCAGGCCTGGCATGTCCCTGAGCAGAGGGAGATGTTTTGTGGCAGTGAGAGCCGGGATGTGACTGGAAACAAGCAGGAAGCAGCCCCAAAGCAGTGGGGGCTTTTTCCAGCTTTCCTTGAAGCAGTGTCACCACGAGCCACAGCCCACAGGTGCCATCAGCACTGGGCTGCAGCTGTGGGTGCGTTGCTGTGGCTCCTGGAGTGCCACACGTGCCCAGGCTGCAGCAGCGGGAGCCAGGAGAGCTTCCTGACACCATTTCCCTGCAGGTGATCCTTCAGCTGCCGAGCTGCCACCGCAACGTGTTCCGGTACCTGATGTCCTTCCTGCGGGAGCTGCTCAGGTACTCGGAGGACAACAACGTCAGTGCCACCATGATCGGTGAGTGTTGTTCCTCTGCAGCCCTCGCTCCGTCCCAGCCTCCTCCTGCACCTCCCAAGGTGTTTGTTCCTCACCAGGGACTGATTTTACCTGCCTCCACAGCCGCCCTGTTCTCCAGCCTCCTCCTGCGCCCTCCGCCCAACCTGATGGCCAAGCAGAGCCAGCAGGACCGCCAGCGTGCCATCAACTTCCTCACCAGCTTCCTGCTCGCCGGGGACGACGAGTGACTCGTGCCGTGTGCCAAAGCCGGGCCCGCGCTGCAGCCGGGCCTCTCTCAGCTCCGAGGGGTAAAGGCTCCAAGCTCTGCAAGTGCCGTGTTTACAGTGGGAAGGGACGCTCCCCTCCTCGCCTCGCCACACCCCACGCTGCAGAGGCACCGCTCACCGCGCCGCCATCCACCTCCGGAGCCTCGGCTTCCCGCGGGAGCCGGCCGGATGTGGCGGTACCCGAGCACTGTGCCAGCGCCCGTCGTCCCGTGGCAGCGTCACCGGGCGTCCAGGTCACGCTTCTCTCTGTGTCACCCCCATCTGCCAGGAGCTGCTGTGGAGAGGGGTGGGGATGGCCAGTGCTCTGGGTGGCACGGCGCGTCCCTCCGGCGCCGGGTACGCGTGTACTGCCCAGACTGCAACGTGTGCCACCCTCTGCCACACAGCCCTGCCAGCCCTGCTGCCATCACTGTGCTATGGACCGTGCTCACCCAGGAAAGGTTGTTTGGACATTCGGCCTCTCCCCTTCGGCAGGGCCTTTCCCCTCTCCCCTCCCTCCCAGGACACGAGGCCTCGGCACACAGCTCTGTCCCTGCACACCCCGTTCTGCCCTCACTTTCCTCTCCCTTCCCTGCCCCATTTCCCCCAAGGACACGGGATGGTGGCTGGCTCACAGTGGCCCGGGTCAGGTGGAGCCACGAGCTGCCCTCTGTGTGTCTTGAGCAGGATGGGAGGCCTGTCCCTCCAGGCCAGCCTGCAGTGTGGGGGTGGGACAGGCTGGCTGCCCAGGTGCCACCAGATGGAGTCTGTTCTCCTCCTGGGGTGCTAGCAGAGGGTGCAGGTTTGGGGGAGTAAGAGGAGCCAGAAATGCTCCCTGAGGGCCAGAGGAGCAGCTGGGGGGGCTGCGGTGCAAGGGTCACACCCAGCTGGCTGAGGGGACAGCCTAGGGCTGGTGACAGGGTACAGCAGTGGCCTGTCCCACCAAAACACTACGAGGCCTGTGGGGCCACGGGGCCTCAGGTTAGGGAGGCCAAAGCCAAGGGGAGAGGGTTGTGGTCACAGAGCCCCTGCCGGAGCCTGGTTAGCCCAGGATGTCATGTGGCCCTGTGGTCCCCATGCACTGGCTGAGCTGCCACGGGCTCCCTTCCCTTCTGCCTTTTTCTTTTCCTTAAAATTTTTAAATTACATAATTTATTGGGAAACCATTCGTTCCAAATAAACCTCTGTTGTGCAAGGCCTGGGGGCTGCGCGGGGCGCGCCTGCCCTCCCTGGGGCAGCTCTGCAGTGTCACGGAGTGACGGAGCCTGGAGCTCGGCTGGGCCCGTGCTGGTACCGTGCCCATGCTGTGCCCGTGCCGTGCCAGTACCATACCCATGCTGTGCCCGTGCTGTGCCCGTACTGGGCTGTGCCTGTGCTGGGCTGTGCCTGTGCCATGCCCGTGCTGTACCCGTACGGTGCCGGTACCGTGCCCGTGCTGTGCCCGTGCCGTGCCGGTACCGTGCCCGTGCTGTGCCTGTGCCGTGCCGGTACCGTGCCCGTGCTGGCCGTGCCCGGGCCGGCACTGCTGCAAGCCTGCGTGTCCTGCCGTAGGAAGCGGTGGCCGGTGTCATCTCCATCTGCTTCCTGCCGGCTCCTTGGGAGCAGGGCTGTGTCTGGGCAGCTGCTCCCGTGCTGTCACCGAGGTGACCAGCGCAAGGTGCCGGCATTGTTCCCGTGACCACCACATTCCTGCCACTGCCGGAGGAAATGCCTGATGCTCCCTGGGGATGGGACAAAGGCTGGGCCTGCCCATCCTCCTCCTCAGGAGGGGACCCTGGGGGCTGTTGGGGTGCAGCTCTGGGGGTCTCACCCGTGCATCAGCCCACCGTGAACACGGGCACTGAGGGGTGCAGGTGGTGCCCAGGTGCTGGAGGAGCTGGTGGTGTCCCACATCGCTCACCTGCCCTGGCTGGGCAGAGCTGTCCCTGTTCCCCCTGGGGACAGCCAGAGGTCCCCAAGGACCGCAGGGCTCCTGCCGCTGCTCAGCCCTCTCGCAGTGCCCCCTGCATCCCTGCTCAGCACGCCGGGACCTGGCAGATCCCGTCCTTGTCCTGCTGGGACAGACGCTGCTTGCACGGCCAGGGCCAGGACTGCCCTGCACCGCTCTGCCCGTGTCCCCAGCAGTGTCCCTGTGCCCACTGTGCCCCAGCTCCTGTTGCAGTGCGGCTCTGGCACTGCCGTGGCGCAGGGAGCGTGGCCGAGCTCAGCAGCTCCCACCTGCCTGCGGGCAGCCGGCCAGGCCAGGAAGAGCCAGAGATTCCTTAGGTCTCCCGGCCCAAGAAGCCTCTTCCTCCTTCCAGGCTGGCCACAGCCCAACCAGGAGGTCCTCCCTGCCTCCTCCTCCCAGGCTGGCGCGGGAGGGCTGGGGTCAGGCCTCAGCTGTGCAGCCCCTGTGGGGCTGGGGGACATCCGTGGGACATCGCTGCCCTGCTGGCACGGCCACGGCAGCCGCTCCAGGGGTCTCAGGGGTGCAGGGACCTCACCCAATCTCTTGGGCAAGGTGCCTGAGGCCGAGCACGGGCATTGAGGGCTGGTTTGGGGTGCAGGGGGAGAGCCCTCCCAGTTCAAACCAGAAGCAGCAGCACTGGTTGGAGCAGTGGCAAGGGAGGAACCATAACCTCCCAAACATCCCAGAGCTGGGGCTGGGGGCAGCTGGAGGGGGCTGTGACCAGGACACCATGTCCTGCCCCACCAGCCCTGGGAGGCTGCTGGCTCTGGAAAACTGGGCAGGACAGAACTGGGCAGTGGGGATGGCAGGGTCTCTCAGGGCAGCTGGTGGTGGGGACATGGGGCAGCAGTGGCTGCAGGGATGCCGGGGCTCCCGGGCAGGGTCCCGGCCGTACCGGGGCTCCCGGGCAGGGTCCCGGCCGTAGCGGGGCTCCCGGGCCGTGGCGGCGTGGCCGCAGCGCTGGCGCGGGGCCGG